GAAAGAGAACACAACGTTTCGGCCGTGGAGCCTTCTTCAGGTGTCATACAACACATTCCTCAACTCATATTTAAATCTTTGTTCAAATCTTTGTTAATAAAATTGTGTTTATTAGGCATTAGAAACCTGGTTAATTTTGACCTGATCCTTGCTCCATTTTCTCTCCACAGCATCAATCAATTCAGAGAACGTCACTGTTTTTCGTGTGTATGTGTGACGGGGTAAGGGGGGGGGAGGACTGCGTTTTGTAACAGCATATGCTTTTAGGAGTCAACGTCTTAATTTCTGTCAGCTGTCAGGGAGTCTGAGCGCCCACAGCTGTGCTCCGTGAAAAGGAGCTTTCTGCACAGGAGGACTGTAATCTGTCTCCCTGCACTGACCCAGCCACAGCCCCGAGGTTACAGCCGAGCCCTGGACTGCCACCCTGCACTTTGCCAGCTCGGAAAGCAGCCGGGGATCGCGTGCATGTGAAGGCATTGCCCCCTCGCTCAGGAACTTGAGATGGTACGCAACGACAAGAGATAAGACCACTGCAGACTTCCGCGATCGCCCCTTTGCCAGTTCTCTCGTACGCACGCACCCTGCGAGTGAAATACATCTCGTCTCTGGACAGGCAGGGGAAACACACCCCTGTCCAGCCTGCTAGAAAGATGCAAAACTCAAATAACATATTTAATCTTTGCGCTTTACGGGTCTCGAAGGGCAAAACTCCTGTTCTGAAACACTAATGCGCAAGACAGCAAAATCAAAGACAAGCTACATTGTCTTGAACATCACCTTGAAGAGGCTAAGGAAGGATTGGAGTGTAAAAGAAAGATTTATATACTGCCACTCTGTGGATGAGACAGACACTGCAGTTTTGATTTTTTCCAATACATTTGCCGTAACGAGAATAACGTTATGAACAACATGAGAAAATGAGTAAGGTTACAAGTGGCTCATCCAACCCATTTTGTATTTATTGGCTAATGGCCTTATCCTGCAGTTTCTTGCAAGAAGCCAGGTCATCGGCAACTTGGTAGTTTGCTCCATACACCCACAACTCTCAGAAGTGCCTCCTGTTCTCAGTTTTAAATGCACTTCTGGCTTGTTTAAGGAGCCTGATCGGCTAGCCAAAATAAAACACACAGGAATACAACCAAAGTAGATACTGATCGCATTTACAGTGACGCATATGAGAACGAACCAACACTCCAGAGACAGATGAAAAAAAAACAGTGGGTGTTTTCGGCATTTCCAATTGAAATAGAGAGAATAGGGCTGATTTTAGGATTGAAATCAGGAAGCAGCTCTTTACAAAAAGGGTTATAGGAGTCTGGAACAAACTCACCGGCCGTGTTGTGGGAGCTGATTACCTTGAATCTCCCTGGAACATCTGGGCATAGACATACAGCATAGCAGCCAAATGAGTAAGATGATCTAAATGACCACACTCATGTCAGCCTCTGACATCCTTATGAAGTGCCATGTGCTATGGTGAATAGTCTGAATTCTGCTCAGTCCAGAGTGGCAGGGGAAATACATGAGGAAGCTGAAATACTTTATTTGAACCAGAGAAGTCAGAGAAGAACAAATTCTCATCAGGTCAGGAGGCCGGCACCACTGACCCAAGTGTGGTGAACTGTATGTGACTGCTCATGAAGGCCGAGAGAGATGCAGGAGTCTGGTGGCAAGAGAACACTGTGTAGTGGCCTCAGTGATGCCTGGACCTGCAATGCAACAGAGAGGGGATGATTAAGGAGCTCGTGCGAGAGTTATGACAGGTTTAGTGCTAATTTCTGCCGGAGAGGAATTTGGGAGTAGTTTGGAGGCTGTAAACAGCGTCTTTGTGCAAAGTGTCACATTTTCCCCTTCACTGTGGAGAGCCGGTGTGCGGTTGTATAAATCACATTCCTGCGGGCCGGCCTGGGCAGAAGAGGGTCCCACACACACGTAATCCCTCCGAGAGCTGGCTGGGTCAGGGGGGAGGAAGGAAATGGCTTCCACACACCGTAAATAAAGAATTACGGTCCTGCTGACCTGCTCTGTGCCCCATGGACAAGCCACACACCAGGGACATCAGCGCTAAGATAAACACCCTGCGTCAGCCTTTCAGTCTCCCTTCGGTGATAAAGAGATTCAGACAGTGCTCCTTATTTCTTTCTCAGCTTCACAGGCAAGAATTTTCCCATGGGCGCTGAACATCCCAAAGCATAAGTCCGTAGCTTGAAAGGAACTTCAAAGTGTACTATACGGCTTGAAATATCTCCAAAAAGTAACTTAAGATAATGACGTTTAATGAAGAAGTCCACTGCCCTGTTTGGGAAAGAATATAATTCGCTTTCTCACAAAACTGTGAATATGCTTCTTAGACAGCACCATTTTCTGTCACAGTGAGTTCTTTTCACTGGGAATGATTCTCATGAGGAACGGAATAATCTATTTAAAGTTCTGCTCATAGCACATAGGTCATAGCTGGCTTAATTATGAACGTTTCATGTGTATTTCCAACAGTAAGCTTACATACACTCACTTGTCAAAATATTAAGAACCCCATTGCAAACAAACACACTCTCCTACCACTTCAATAGAACTCGGTTCCGCTCAGAGAAAAACTGTGAGAGAAATTCTGGCCCCAGTACTCTAGAATCACTAACTCTGGCATTCCTTCAGTTCAGAAAGGAAACTGTGTCACGGCCTCTCTGCATTCACCGAAGACTGAAGTCAACCTTAACGTCAGCATTTCAAAAGCACAGAAAATGAAAATGAACATAACTTTTAGAAAAATCTTATAATATTATTATAAGACTGGCACACTTCAAAAGTGTCTGAAAGTCCTTCAGGAAGTTCAGTTCTGTGACAGGTACCAGTTGCCTGACTGTGCTTGGTGACATCACCAAGCCCTGCTCATGTTGTGTAATTACCCATGTCAGCATCTGGATTCATTTAGGAAAGGAATCCAATAAAATCCTTAATTGGCTCTTCAACCATTTTAAGCGACTGATTAAGAACAGTTTCAGATCTGGTTTGTATTAATGAATTCTTTTTCTGCCTCATTATAATGTTTCAATAGCTTGTTCTTTCCAGAGAATTACAAAATAAAGTGACACATTTGATATCTTGTCTCGTATACAGTACTCTGCCCCAGACGATAAGAGAATACTGTACTGATCTCAGAAAGAAAGACTCCGACAGGAAAATGAATCTCTCATTTTTCAGCCCTGTATCTGTTTTTTTAAATAACCAGTAAACATCAGAGCATGATAAGACTTCTAGATAATATTCTAATCTTAAAGTGCATATACCATGTATACCATGTGCTGCTTTGTGGAATACATGTTCTGTTGTAGCCTTTCCAATCACACGCTAAAAGAGGGACGTGGAGTTCAGAGAGAAGACCTGCACCGTGGACTGCGTTTGTTAGACCTTACAGTCCACATCCTGCCACAATGAGACTGACACCTGCTAGTTCAAAAAGCAGGTGAAGACAGGGGGTGTGAGGGTGGTGAGCCTGTACTACCACAGGGATCGCAATAACAAAGTCAGAGTCACCTTTAGTGCCAAACCAACGCTTCGGGGTGTTGAGACGTTTTTGTAGTACAGTAAGACAGAGAGACGAAAAAGAGAAAGAAAAAGAATAACACACATATTGTATACAGTAAGAATACAGTGCAGTGCTACATTACAGCGCCGTTAGAAATCCAGGAATTCTAGTGCAGAATCCTACCCTAGCTGTCTGGAATGTCATAATGTCCATGTGCAAAACTACAAATGCACACTTGTATATTAATGTTGAGATAAAAGATTGACTATCCTCAGCATAGGAACTCTTCAAATACCCGTCTGTTCTAAATTTCATACATCGTCACCAGCTGGGCCAGATGGTGACCGATTAAACCAGCCAAGGCTCTGAGCTCACAGCTACACTGAACCTCATAGTTCACTAAGCAGGCCGGTACAGTATCTCATATGCTTAATAATAATAATAATAATAACATCACTTTTTTAACCCTTTACAATTTCTTGCATTAGGGATTGTCTTTTCGCATACCCCAACTTGCTCTCCATGAGACACACAGACACACAGATAGGGAGAGAGCCTGGGGTCAGAGCACAGGGTCTACCATTGTACAGCACCTCTGGAGCAGTTGGGGTTAAGGGCCTTGCTCAGGGGCCCAATGGAGTAGGATTCCTCTGCCAGCTGCAGGATTTGAACCAGCAACTTTCCAGCCACAGGCGCAGATCCTGAGCCAACATGTGAACAAATTGGCTCACTGTCACTTTGCCATGTAAAACCACAGTTTTGTTGGTCAATAACGTCTAGCAGGAAACCAGCTTTCTGACTGGGGGGAATTTTATGTGTGTACATGCACACATACAGCATGTACAGTATGTGTATCACTGACAAAATGAACCAAGGTATTAAAATATAGTCAGCCTGCTTTTAAGAAAAAATCCCATTGGTACGTATCACATTATTTGTAAAGATGTCACAAATGGTGTACACCAGGACTACTCACCTGGCAGTCTTTCAATGCGGGGTAAATCAAAGTACTGTGGCACAAGTTGGCTCCACTCCTACCCATATTGTGCAGGTTTTATATAGCTCACCTTTATCAATTTCTAAAGACCAGGAAGAATCAGTTCAGTTAAATCAGTTAAAACACGGTGTTTTCTAAATTAAGTAATGCAGAAAAAGCAATTACAATTCTTCAGCCCTCAATGACCAGAATTCCCTTGTTTGAACAAACTTCTTGCTTAATGGGTCAGTAATGTAAAAAAAACATTAATTAAAAAACAGGTGATTCAAGGTGACCTGTAAGACTAACGTGATTAGGGTTCACCAGGACCAGTGCTGGAGACCTGCTGTGCTGTACATGAATTGAACTCTCTTGGACTGACGGACTTGATAACGTGACAACCCACTTTCCTGCTGATACCAGTTTCAGCCACCAGGTGTCAGACCTGCATCCGATTTTTTTGTCTTGAAGACGTTAAAACCGTCCTCTAGGTGGCTACTAGATAAAATACAGTGCGAGCAGATCCTACTTCTCCTGCGCGGTTTAGCCAGTGTCCGTTAGTGTGTTTACCCTTTACTGTACAGTGTCTTTTTAGCGTTCACTATCAGGGTCTGTCTGTGCATTGAGCAGTAACTTAAAATGCGAAGACTGAAGGAATAATCTCTGTTAAAACTATGGTACCGCAGTCAGATAAGTGTTTCTTGAATTCTGTGCATTACTGACAGGGGCCTTGCTTGTGGTGAACGATCTGCTGCTGTTCAGAGGTAAGGAATGCTTTTAAAAAGATATTTCAAAACCGGTACGAAAACTCATACCCTGCTGGCGCGGACACTACGCCTTCTGACACTGAACCATTATTACGATAAAGCGTTTTTATTGTAGCACGATGATCCACTTTCCTGACGGTGTGAATTGTTAAATTGATCCATTTTGCCGAGATAACTTGAGAATTGTTTATCTCTCGGGTCTGCGTGAAGCTCCGCCTGCATTAGCGAACGTGTGCTGAGACTCGGAGCGAGTGAGGTGGACTACGCACATCGTACGCCGTGACGCAGCTCTGTTAAAGGGGCAGGCCGTCATCGCGCAATTCCTTAAAAATCGAATAATGGCTTGTAATCAACATTAAAAAGCACTAGAAATTCGGTCTTTACCACTTCCATTTTGGGGGCCAGACTCCCAAAAAGCAGTTAGCAGTGTAAGGTGGGCAGAGATCCCGTGTAGAAATTGGCTCCATCCCACCCGCCATGGTTAGAAAGCCCCTGTTTAGTGTTAGGATGAGGGTCCGTTCAATGCGGATCCTGACCCGGGAGCGTCAGGCGCAGTGCGGAGTGGGACAGCGGTCTACAGCAGGGCGCGCACACAGTTACAGCTTGAAGGCACTGCTCGGCGTTATTTCGTTATTTTAGTTTCAGCCACAGACGGGATCCCGAAGAACACTCAACCATGCATGTTTTCAGAGTGCCCTCGGCTCCTGGCAGAAATAATGCCAATTTTGATTCACTAGGAATAACAACGCCGAAAAATGAAGTGTACTGAAAGGATTATGGAGTATTTCATGAAAATTCGCAGAGTGGGGAGTGACCAAAACAGTATTTATAGTGTTTTAGGAGTGGAAATGACATCAGGAGTGATTGCTAATCACTGACAGCCGAGTCTGAGTGAACTTGGCAGTCGTCATCCCTCCCGAAAGTTCGTTACTAGCTCCAGTTGTGAAGGAGGGCAGTTGTTTCAGTGGGACGCGAGGTGCAGGTCAGGCTCTGTCCTCCACACTGCAGTGGGCAGGGGCGGAGGGCTGCCGTTTCTCCCTCTCTGTGTGAAGAACGCAGATCTTGCCTGTGTGCAGGGATGTGACCATGCTGAGCCGTCTGCAGGAGCTGAAGAAGGAGGAGGAGACGCTGCTGAAGGTCAAGGCCATGCTGCAGGACCAGCTCACCAGGCTGAAGGTCAGAGACTTGTGCCCCCTGTCGGACACACTGCCCCCAGGGCACAGGTGTTCACTTCTGTCCAGTTTTCCTCCGAATGCCGTGTGAGGCTTGTACTCTTTCTTAAGCAATGGGCATGATTTACCTAGTCCACATAAGCAGCCAACCTGGCTCTGTGTCCAGCGCCCTCTGTGTCCAGCGCCCTCTGTGTCCAGGGCCCTCTCTGTGTTTTCGGTGCCTTCTGTGTCCAGGGCCCTCTCTGCGTGTCCGGCGCCCTCTCTGTGTCCGGCGCTCTGTGTGTCCGGGGTTTGAGTGAGCAACAGGCGCAGTGACCAGAGTGAGTGAAGCTTGTTTGCTTTTGCAGGTGGAGGAGCTGACCTTAAGGTCTATGATCAGCACTGACAGAGAGGGCTGCTCTGCTCAGCTTGCCTGCACTGAGGTATGAGGATACACATACTGTACTGTGAGGATATCGCCTCCTCCCCATCACTGCTAAAATCAGTCAGTCTGATCGAGCAAAAAATTATGTGGCTGTTTTTTTATCTCTAACACTGTAAAACTTCACATGCTTTTTCAGAATAGTGTTAGGTGTTTTACATGGTGTTTAACTGTCCTTGTAGTTTGTGTTTTAGAACTGCTTATGGGTGCCTAATCTGCCAAATAGATGCTACCGTGTGTCCACATGCCTAAACCTAACACTAGTGATAAGTTGTGAAATGTCCAGGTGACCAGTGCTCTGTGACCATGACTTTGTGTCCAGGGCCCTGCGCAGCTGGACAACGAGAGCCAGATCAATCAGACGGAGCTGCGGCTGACCGCCACAATTGATCAGGAGATGGAGGAGGACGAAGAGGAAGAGGAAGAGGACTGAGCTCTTCCCGCTGCTTCCCAGATAGATGGCCGAACCCCAGCCAGAATGCACTGTACTGTCCTTTGCTGTACTGAATGTGATACTTGAAATTATCATTTGTTCGCCTATTTTGGGGGTTTGCACCTGCTGTTTCTGGACATTTATCCTGTTTTTTCACCACGCCTCTTTTGGAGGGCAAGCTCTCGCTGGGCTGACACAGACGACACGGATGCTCACCCCTGCGTCTCCTCTCTGTTCCCCAGCTTCTGACTTCCCCATCTGGGGCCATTCTGCATTTTTCTTTTAGGTTTGCACATTTCACTCTGAGCTTGGAAAAATGTGTGTTTATACTGTGTTCCTGAAGTTAACTGAAAGAATTTCCACCCTCTGCGCTCTTCTGCCTGGCCAGCAGCAGCGTGGAAAGAGTGGTGCAGCACAGGCTAAGCCAGGCCTGTGGCTGCTGTTAATCATTCCCCCTGAGCTCCCAGTAAACGAATTGATGTACAGTGCTACCCTCCTATAATGTGATCTGTTATAGAGCTTCCGTTTCCCGGTTTGGCCTGAACTGCTTTTATTCTAGATGTGAAAACAAACTCTCAGTGTAGCAAAACGAGTCCAGAGTGTTGCCGTGTATAAACGTCCTAGGATCTGGCGTTCTTTCTAGTTCATAACTGTTATTATTCCATGATCCAATTTCAGTTTGCAGTGCAGATGAAACTGGAGGATGGTGGTTTCTGTTATTTATACTGTAGGTATATAATGTACAAAACAACACTCTCTCCCACTTATGGACCCCAGCACCCACATTATAAAGCTACAGTAATGTGCTTAATCAGAGGCTTTTAATTGTTTTCAGCTGTATTGTAAGTATAACTTGGTCTGGCTGACCAAATGGAGGTGTCATCTGGGTAACTGAGAGCTGTGCTGGAATGAAAACCAGAAGCCACACGTTTCATCCGAGACCAGTGCTGGAAACTCCTTTCCCTGCCGTGTGCTGTATAATTGAGCTGAGCCATGGCCTGCCAGGATTCTTTGATGGCTTGGCAGGAGAGTGTGTGAATTCTGTGCTGTTAGCGCTGTAAATAAATACGAGATCTTGGGGGAAAAAAAAACTTTTTTCTTAAAAGCCTTTTATTACGAAAAGCGCCCCGGGACTGCAGTGTGTGTGTGGCTGAGTTCTTCACTGGAGGGCTGGCCGTCTCTCAGCTGAAGCAGATCTTGCGGATGGAGCCCACGGTGCTGTTCTGCCCACCCCAGTCCGAGTAGTTGTTGAAGTCTTTCTTCTCCAGCACGTAGTGAGGGCCTCTGTAGTTGGGTTCCTGGTATACCACCCAGCTGCCAGACACAAGGGGCCGAGTGTTACTCATACCGCGCGCTGCACGGCACTGCACCATCGCCACCATGCACAGAGGCATTTTCACTTTGCTTCACAGAAAGGTCTGTTGTAATGGAGTTTTGCCAAACATTCGGGAGTAGGCCAGACCCTAGTCTCTCCAACTTCTACCTGCCTAGATATAAATATCATACTTCACTTCTACATCATTTCATGTCTGTATCCCTCCCTCCATTCCATCTTCTCCCTGTCTCGTTCCTCATGTAAAAAGGAAGCAGGTGATTCCAACAGGCACGTACTCATGGAACAGGTGATCTTCCTCCACAGTCAGGTGAGTTACCCCTAATAAAGTTCACTGGATCACACCTCTCCACCTTGATTAGGGTATGACCGGACTACTGCATCTGGTTTGTGAAAGTATGGAAATGGCCAAGATTGCAGATGCACATCTGTACACTGCGACAGAGGTATGGAAAGGCTAGAGATCTAAGCTAAGCAGATTTGGTGTTGGACAACATAAACAATTTAAAAAGCTGAGTACCTTTTTTGAATGGATGTTCTTACATTTTATGCATTTTATTTATGAAGCGATGAAAAGGTTCATATTCAAGAGTTGACTGATTTGTTTTTAATTTTGGTGCCCTTAAAAAAGAACACCTCTGTGAAAGGCACATCGGCAGACGCAACTGTAATCTTATACCTACAACTGTTCAAAAGTAAGCTACTGAGCCCTGCCGTTGAAAATGAACTCCCCTGACAATGGCCAAACAGTCAGGGTTTAGCTAAACACGTCCACGCCCAACGCATAAAAATCGCGATTCAACATGAATGTCTGCACCAGGCTTTGTGTGGTGTACAGTGCCAAAAAAGTCAACTCATTGTTAAACACAGTAGTGTGTCTGTCGCCTCCCTGGGTGCTTGATGGTTTGTCCCGGTTTTAGGTTGATTTTATCATTTTAACGAGGGGCTTCTGTATTACCTGGTCCTACTTCATTCATATCATGCTAAGCACAGGAACAGACAGGACAGCGGGCTCACCCTCCTCCGAGGACGCGGATGGATGCCGCGCGGTTGATGCCGTAGCGGCTCATCAGGTTGGGAATGTCGTCCTGCAGCTCCGTCTTCCTCCCGGAGAACCCAGCCCTCTCGAACAGCTGCACCCTGGGGGGAGAGGTGTCCTGTGTGGGGGGAGGAAGCAGAGAGCCTCATTGGTTCATCCTGGTTCATGTTTGCTTTAGCTTGGGACTGTGATATAATATTCACGGGCCGCGTGCTTCCTGTTGTCACCCCAGAGAAGGTGAGGAAGTAGCTCATTTAGTGATTCAATTAAAGCTTCTGACAAGGCAACAGCCATATGACCTGTCAGGTCCATCATTTCAGGACATTAACAATTGCATTGAAGGAGAACTAAGTCACAGTGATTATACGTGTAGAAGAGACCTGTGGAAAGGTTAACGTGAAGCAGGCTGCCCACTTCTCACCTGTCTGACAGAGCGCACAGAGGAAATGTGGTCCATTGATGCACACCACTTGTCACAGCTGTTATACTCCCCCCGGTCTGACAGGTCCCACAGGTACTGCCGGCCTCGGAAATTCTCGTACTCGTACCCCACCCATCTGAGCGAGAGACAGAAGAGAGAGACGAGCAGCTCATTCCCGACAGCTCCGATCAGGACAGGCAGCAAGCCAAGAACGTGGCGGATCAATGAAAAGGAAATAATGACAAAATGCTCCAACTCGGGCGCAGGCAGCCCTGGCACTTTCATTGCCTGAAAAAGTTAAAGTTTCAGTGGGGGACAAAAACACTTGGCTGCCTTGGGGGTGTTCCAAGGCTGCCGGCGGCCCCAGCCAGTCAGTAATGGGGTGCCCAGGCCGTACGTACGCTCCACTCTCCACTTGCACAGAGTTGCATCTCTCCGGGAAGTTCTTGTCGCTCAGTTTCTGACAGTCGGCGGTCAGGTCCAGTCGGCGCCCTGTGAAGTTCCGCTGCTCGTACAGGGTCACCTGGGGGTCACAAAGGTCACGCAGGAGTCACTGTGGCTGTCCCTGCCTTAGGATTCCTGCTTTGTTGGTATTTTGAACTGGGAAAAAGATTATAAGGATTTTCATTTCTGTAAATCTCTGGATTTATGTCAAAATTTGCCTATATATAAGAAAATAAATGAATTATTCTCAAAACCCAGTGATACAACACACCAGTGTTCAGGAACACCTTGGTGGGTTTAAACAAACCAATTATACAGAGTTTACTCCTGCATGCATGATTAACAGAAACCTGTAGAAAATCACAATCCAGAAGGATTTTCAAAGGATTGTTTAAGAATAAAAGTTTATTTCCTTATCTTGAAAAGGAGTGCATGTAGCAAAAAACATATATTCTTTGCATTTTAAGTTGATTTACAAATCGGAGCTGAAGTGTACAGTTGTGATAGAGAAAAGAGGACAACATTGTACACAGAGCTTCAACATGAAAAACAGCATGGACACTGGGACTCACCCGTCCACTGGACGCGTAGAAGGAACGTTGGAGCACGGACCCCAGCTTGCTGTGGAGTGACACAGACCGACTGCTTGAGAGTGCACACACATGCTGTCTTCAGCAGTCAGTGGCTTTGAACATGTTCTTTGGAATATTTATATATGGTGGTCTACAATTGTGAGTAAACCTTTTTTTCTGTGCCGATCTTTAACTCTGTACCCCAGTGCTTAGAAATGACATGCGTTTAGTTAAAAAGGTTGTTTTTTTAGCTGCAGATGTCATACAGAATGCATATTGTGACTTATTCTTTATGAGATTTTGTTTTTAGGAACAGACTACTTGAGATCCAAGACAAACAGTTTGGTGAATTACATATTCCTCACAGATCGCAAGTTGTAAATGTCATTTCATTGCTGTATCTGCGGACCAATTTTTAACCTGCCCGCCCTGAGAAGAATCATCAGGGTATGAGAGCTGTAGTCCCTCTTTGCTGTCAAGGGCGTATCGGTGATCGTGAATTCTAATTGTCACTGTGCTGTAGACAGCTGACCGCTACCCTTAGCAGGGAACAACTTAGCCTGGCACATCTGAGAAAAATATGCATCAGGTTTTTAACTTGCACTGCTTTGGGGACATACTGTACAAGGGGGTCAGGCCAGAAGGTAAAAAGGCAAGGTGATTGCTTCACGGAATTCATCAATCTGTTCTGAGCACGGCACTCCACACATACCTGGTTTGATGGGCTAATCCTGGAACCTTAGTAAAGATGTTCATTTCAGCTCTGTGAGGCCAGGAAAAAGCCCCTTAAATACGTCAGGTAAGTTCAATGGAGGAGTACTAGAACATGCAAAGCTCTTCTGTCCCTCTCTCAGAGCCCTCTCTGCATTGATATGCTAAACCCAGACAGCACACATGCTGCATTCTTCTGCGACCCAGGCATGTGCTTGTGCTCTGTGCACCGGAGTGCCGTGCAAACAGTTTCCCTCCAACAATTCAGCATTTTTTTACAAAACAGCTTCCAACAATAGGACACCTAATAATAATAACCGCATTCATGCTTGGAACAGGGACAGATCTGGGGACTACATGCATTTGAAAGGGCGTTTGAGCTCACAATGAGCATGCACTCAATAGATACCTCTCCTTCTGGATAATTGTACCTGTTTTTTCTCTGTTCGGTGAGCTACAGCTCATATGGATAGCTATGATTTCTATTTTTACAATCCTGTGGTGAAAATGAAAATGTTATCAAGTTAAATAGATCTCTGATCAGATCATGTGAAATTCTAATCTGGTCTATCATTATATATTTTTTATATTAGATTTAGTTTCACATTGTAGAGAACAATGAGAGTACAGTACAAACCCTGTTCAGTGGTACTCAAGAATATACCCCTAGATCTGAACTATGGTAGCACTCTTTGGTTGTTTAGTGACAACTCTCAAACTAAAAGGAAAAACAATCAATGCTGATGTTCGCAATGGCTGTGGCCTAAAAAATATTCTTAAAGAATGGAAATCTGTCGTTTCAAGAGCTGGCTCAATGAGGTGATATGTTGTGTGCATATCCCTGATTGTTTTACACATTCAATGAATCTGTGATTACTTTCACCATAGATTTCGATTCTTTTCTTATTTCAACAAGAAAACTGTAAAAAGGCAAGAACAAGTTTGAGCTGTTTTTCTTTGTCTGGTTTTTCTTTATTTTTGTTTTTTCTGGGGGGAGGGAAGGAGTTTTTCTATATATTTGTGTTGTTTTTTAAGTTTCTTTTGTTAGTCTTGCTAAAAAGATTTTTCTTAATTTTGCAGGTAAAATATATGCATACCAAATGGATTTTTTTCAAAGGCTTAGTTTTTAATATGCAAATACCCTTGATAATACCATTAGCAGTAGCTGTAGCCATACAAAAAGAATGCACATTAGAAATGCCCATGAGGTATAGATCCCAAACAACCCTGTGTTTAGAACATGCATCTCCATATTTCGAATGCAAGACAAAACCTGTTCTCTTTCATCGAACTGCTTGGTGAGCAGTCAGCAAGACCTCGGCCTTCAGCTCTCCTGTGACGGAGCTTCAGTTGCCTTTGTCAACTCGAACACAAGTGGATAAACTGACCAAAGTTAACTTTGCTTACTGAGTGAAACCCCCTTTTCTAAGAGATCTGTGTGTCCCAGCAAAATGTATTCACACTCCATTGAGCTGTAATGGAGGGGGGATTTAGGACTCTGTTCGGGTCACGAGTTGTGTGAATAGAGCCAGCCCGCTGGGTGGCTGGGCAGTGCGAGGGGGACAGCAGTGTTCTCACTGCGGGGGCACGTAGGTGTATCGAGAAGGTGAACTCATTCTGGAGACCGGAGGTGACTTTCTTGTATTCTAGGCTCAGTTTCCAACCAGGACATATGAAGATCGTGTAACAGGTAGGAGGAAAGAGCAGAAGGGGAGGTTTTATGACAACACTGTCCATTTGGTTGTTGTTTAGATCGCTAGACTGCAGAGAGGATGGCATTTTCTGATACGTTATCCACCACAGCGTTTTTCTACACATACTTGTTTTATTATAAACCCTTTGTTCCGAGTGGTCATGTTTAGAGGGTGAGTGGTGTTATTTGACCTTAAAAATCTAAAAATGTTTTCTCTGAACATTTTAGGTAGCAAAGAGGAGCCTTTCTGTGCAAATAATAATAATTGCCAAGCAGCTTTCCAAACCCCAGGATGCTGTTCAGAATGATAATGTATGTTAGAAAGACAAACTAAACAAGCACATGCAAGTCAAGCTGTCTGACACTCAGACACTGGCCATAGTAAAATGATTAGTTTTAAGGTTAGATTTAAAAACAGCCAAAGAATCTGCTTCTCGAAGAGTCAGAGAAAGGGTATTCCATAAACATGGAGCAGCAACAGAAAAAGCACAGTCAACAACAGTCTGAAACTGAGTCCTGGGTACAGTGAGCAAAGGACCACCCTCAACTGAACAGAGCCTAAGGGAAGGAGTGTACACATTTGGATTATCAAGAGCCTCACAAGTCAATAACAAGATCTTCCATTGACTGTGTGTGACTTTATAGGCAAGCAATGAAGAGATCTGAGAGTAGGAGTGATAATGTAGCCTGGGTCTAGTGTGAGTCAGAAGTCTAGCTGCAGAGGGTTGGATAAATTGCAACTTCCTGAGAAGGGTGTTGTGTGGCCCATAGAGCAAAGAGTTGCATCAATCAGGCCTTTTGGTAGTACACTGACTTCCATTTCTGATTCCTGACTTACAGATACAATACATGCGTAGAACAGATTCCAGGGAGGCAACCCTTGAAGTTATCCTTTCATTTGTTCACTTTTACCATTTGTGCTGAACTTGAAAAAATTGCTGCCAGCAATCTAGCATCCTGACTGGTTGATCAAGACCTCTATAAAGACAGTTCAATCCCATTAAAGTGTTGACTCTCACTGCATTCCTGCAGCCACAAGGAAAGAGGAAAGAAGAGTTTTGCTTGATTTCAAGTGCCGGTTTACAGGGAATGCTGAGCAAAGTGGTGAGTTTGGTTTCGACCGACTGGGATTCTTGACCTGGGGTGACCAGAGCTGAAGATTACTGGGTGGCCCACTGTCCCTGCAGCCAGACCCTCTGGAAACCCAGTAGTCTTCAGTCACTGCAGCAGGGCTTCGTAATGTGTAGTTTGTTATTTAACATTAAAGTAATTTTCACATCTGCATAGTCCATTTCTAATACAAGAGTAGTTACAATGCAAGCTTTTCCTAAGAGACACGGAAGCCACAAACATGTTCTTGACCCATTTGGACGGGGCAGAAAATAAATATTGTAAAGATTTGTGGCACTGAATGTAGCTCTAGTGTACACCCTTGCTCCTCCCGGTCTAGAGACACTTCTGCTTTCCAAAACGAACTGAGCGAATTGCCTGGCCGGTTCATCCGATATCTCAGCTGACACACAGTCTCCAGGTTTGAAAGAGTGGGGGATGATGATAAGAGACTGGATAACAGGCTTCTGGCCTGCTGCTCTCCAGGAGCTGGAACGGGGCCATCCAGCATGCTGCTAGACCTTCAGAGAGACCCCGAGTTCACGCCTGTTGGCCAGAGCCGAGGGGCTTTGCCGGGGCTAGGCCATGTGACAGTGTGACAGTGTGACAGTGCCCGTGCTCCCCCTGTGCAGGTGTGACCAAACCCTGGACACCATGCTGTCACGCTGCGCGCTCGGGGCGAGCCATGTGCTTGTGCTGGTGCTGTGTCTGTCTGCGGCTGAGGACTTCGACTGGACAAAGAACGACCGCGGCTCTTTCTATTATGGAATTTTTCCAACTGGTAAGGCTCTTGGGAAACTCACGCAACCACCTGCAACCACGACCAGTTCATACAACTGCAGGTGCTTATTGCACAGCCCCTTGCCTGGAGACAGTATACGTTCCTGTTCACCTCCTGCGTGCACCAGTGGTCCATTTGTTGTTGAAGGTGCGGAAGTGCAATTCGTACTGAATGCGAGCTTACTATACAAGATGTGCTGTCCTGAAACCAGTTGTTTCAAGGTCAGATCTCTGTGTGGCTTTGTTCCTGACAAGCTATAAGAGTGAGATTAAATGAAACACAGACCACGCATGCAGCTTTTTGATGTCTGCAAGACTGACTTTGCCAGAACTGTAAGCTTGAAAGTTATCATCAAGGTGAGCAGTGAACTCACCTAAACTCACCCAATAACTACAAAGGTGTTTGCACAGCCCCCAACGCCTCTCCAAAAATAAATCAATTATACACTACCAAGCATGTCTGGTATATGGGTCACAGCATACTGAGGTGTGTAGGTGGTGAATGACTATGCCATCGGTTTTGGAGCAGGCTAAAATTAACACAGTAAGGTCAATAAGGCTTGAGCAGCAGCTCTGTATTGTTATATTAATCCAGGTTTGATGCAATAGTCGTTTTAAGGCTGTGCTGGCTAGGATCGGGCACTATGTAAAACATGTTTGAATATATTCACTGTCACCTAGACTACTCACATGCAAGTGAGACATTAGCATAAACAATAGAGATTGCTCTCTGCACACGACATCGCTCTCCAAGTGATCAGTTCGCTATGGAGCCGGGTGGGGCTGTGTGAGGAGCCCCACTGATACTGGGCTCTGCTCTGTGTTTGCCCCCCCCGTGTCCCCAGGTTTTTCGTGGGGTTCCGGCAGTTCAGCCTATCAGACAGAAGGAGCCTGGGACAAGGATGGCAAAGGAATGAGCATCTGGGACGTCTTCTCCCACAAGAAGGGCAAAGTGCTACACAACGAGACGGGAGACTCCTCCTGCGACGGCTACCACAAGGTCAAGGTAAGGGACCGGGAGAGCGGCCCACTGCTCCCCACCGGCGGCAGCTGCCCCCGGGTACCCCTCAGCGCATGCGACACAGGGCGAACCAGCAAAGGGACAGAAAGACCTCAGCTGCAATCTGTCCGTCCCTCTAATCCCCCCTCCGCCTACAGACGACTGTGGCTCTGTGTAGCTCTAGGTCCGGGGGAGCTGTAAAGCCTGCCGTCTTCCACTTCCTCTTTCTGCCTGTCTCCCCCAGGAGGACATTGGGCTCATGAAGGAGCTGAAATTAAACCACTACCGCTTTTCCATCTCTTGGCCTAGAATCATGCCAACAGGAATCAAATGTAAGTAAGAAA